CTGTTACACAGAGAAACTCTGTCTCGAAAAACCAAAAAATACATAAAAATAAAAAAAATTATCAAAAAAATGAAATATGTTCAGTTCAGCCTCAGCTAATACAATAAACCACGGCTAGCCTAAGCTACATGAGACTCTCAAAACAAACAAAAGATCGGAAAACACCAAGATTGGAAAAATTTTAAAATATTAGAAATGTAGTCATATGTAGTCTACACAGGTTAGCTGCTCTAAGCCCGTGAGTGTAATGTGAAGCTAACAGGACCAGCTGATGCAGACATGCAAAATCTATGACCAGGAGCTTCCTGCCTCAGAAGGGAAGAGTCTTCAGTTAAGGATGGGATTCAGTGATACTCATGCCATGTTTTATTTTGTTTTTCAAGACAGGGTCTCTTTGTGGCTTTGGAGGCTGCCCTGAAACTAACTCTTGCCATTTTGTGATAGGTATTTTGCCTACATAAATTAAACAAAACAGATGACTATTAATATATACCTGAGATGGCAAATGTTTTGTGAGAGTGAATATAATAAGCCAGAAATGTAACAAATGGGAAGTCACTTGCTGGGAAAAGACCCTCAGACATTCTAAGGAAGGATTCAGACTCCTTCCATCATTGATTTCCACAACTCCAATAGATAAGAGTGGTCATTTTCCAGTGCCAACCAACATCTAAAAATAAACAGTTGTATAAACAGTAAAAGAAATCTGCTGCTGCAACAAGATGCTTTATGGAACTTACATGAAGATAAGACATACGAGAAAGGGCAGTATTTTTATGGCCACTTACTTCCTTCTAAAAGCCATACGCAATAAAGCAGAGCTGGGATCACTGTACTGACTGAACAGATATTCTCACATGTTTACAACAGCATTAGATGAGGCAAAAGGTCACCCAGGAGATAGAGAAAAATGGCTTCTGATGACTCTTGACATCCTTTCACTGTTAGAAAGCCAGCCACTAGGAAGAACTGGGAAGAAACCTCCTTAACCTGATGAAGAATTTTTACAAAAGACTCAGCAAATTCTTCTGAAACTAGCAACAAGACCTGATGCCATTATCCCATTTCTAGCCAACACAACACTAGAGATCCTGGGGAGCACAGAAGGTCAGAGAAAACATGAAATGTAAAAGCACTGAAAGAAAAGAACAGAATGTCTGACATGTAAGAGAATTCATAAAAAGTTTAACACAAGCACTGGTCTTGGTATCAAAATATAAAATGAATAAAGTAAATTCTATATAGCAACAATACATTGAAAGTTAATAATCGAGGGGGCTGGAGAGATGGCTCAGAGGTTAAGAGCACTGGCCGCTCCTCCAGAGGTCTTGGGTTCACAACCATCTATAATGAGATCTGGTGCCCTCTTCATGCATATGTGCAGGCAGAAAACATTGTCCACATAATAAATAAATATTTTCAGAAAAAAGAAAATTAATGTTCCAAACACCATATACATAAAAATTGAATAAATTTTAACAAAATGCAAAATGCTAATTAACAGATCTAGACTTTTTTTTTTCTTTTTAAGACAGAGTTTCGCATTGATGGCATATGCCTTTAATCCCAGCACTCGGGAGGCAAAGGCAGGCGGATCTCTGTGAGTTCCAGGCCAGCCTGGTCCACAGAGTGAGTTCCAGGACAGCCTCCAAAACAACAGAGAAACCCTGTCTCGAAAAATCAAAAAAGAAAAAAGGATTGTTTCTCTGTGTAGCCCTGGCTGTCCTAAAACTCACTCTATAGTCCAAGCTGGCCTGGAACTCACAAAGATCTGCCTGCCTCTGCCTCCTGAGTGCTAGGATTAAGGTGAGGGCCACCACCACTTGGCTTTAATTGGCACAGCTAAAGAAATGGAAATATAAGAGCTGGGTGTGGTAGTTCATGTCTGTAATCCTAGACTTGAGAGATCGAGGCAGGAGGATCATCATGGGTTTGAGGCCACCTACATAATAAACTATGGAAGTTCACCAACAGCATATCTCAAACACTTTCCCCAAAGAAGTGAAAAGATATATTATGGATGTAGTTTTATTGTAAAAATATAAATTACCTTCAAATATTTAATGAATTTCATTCAAGTTAAAAAGCTTTAAAATTTTTAAATTATACAAACCACACTTAAAGGGCAAGCCTCATTCATACCCAGAAGTATTTGGTTTTAAAACATGAACTCAATGGTATTCTTGGAGCTTATTTGGGCATTTTTCACCTTACTGGCCTTTTGCTCATATGTTATGATTCCTGATTTTGTGTTTTTATGTTTTGTGGTGGGGGGTTTCTTTTTGTGGCATGTTTGTTTTCTGAGAGAGAAAGAAGGGGTGGCGTTGGAAGGGTGGGGGAGATAGAGATGATCTTGGAGTAGGTGAGGGAAGGGAACTGATTGAGATACATTGTATGAAGAACTGTGCATATAGAGGTGCTACTCACAGAAGAGTAGAAAATTCACAATGGAACGAAGTCAGACACTAAGGCTTGCTGTGATTCTGAACTGCCTTAGAAGACAGCTGAGATGAAGCAGCTGAACAAGGGACTCCACCTTCTCCCATGCTCTACCTTTCACTAGACCACTGGCTCTCCCAAGAGGCCCATTCCACAGGTTCCCAAGGCAGGTAGTCTTCCCTTGGGCCCACTCTGTTGCTCATCACTGACACTCCCGACTAACCTCCAAACAAGGATGAAATGACTGAGATCATCTTATAGAAGCCAGACTGCTCCCCTAAAGCAGACCCTAGGAACCTCACAGAACCCTAACTGGGACAAGATAAACCATACCAGAACTTGACCAGGATTGCTTTATTATGTCTACCTCTTGCCCCTTGGGCATTCTCCTATTTAAAACCTGGTACAGTCAACAGACAAGAAAAAGCAGAGAAGCCACTGGGAATAGCCAGGAAGTGTGCTGCATGGTAATACTAGCAGTGAGTCTAAAAACTCTTTCTGTCATGATAATAATAGACTAATAAAAATTATGCTATAACAATGGGCAGTTTTATCGAAATAAGGGAGGTTGGAGAGATGGCTCAGTAGTGAAGACACTGACTGCTCTTCTAGAGGACCCAGGTTTGATTCCCAACACCCACATGATGGGACATAAGCATCTTGTAACTACAGTTCCAAGAGATCCAATGCCCTTTTCTGATCTCCATGGGCACTGAACACGTGGTATACAAACAAGCATGCAGGTAAAATACCCACACACATAAAAATTAGTAAATAATAAATCAATGAATATGTTGTTGTTGTTGTTGTTTATCACAACTCCTTCCCAAAGCCATGGATCACTGAAAGGTCGCTGGATGGATTTGCCAATGAATATCACTGAGGACAGCATGTTCCTCCTGTGAGTTGTCTCCTGTTTAACTTGGCAAATGAGGACACAGGCCTCATCATATAGTTATGCTAACACAACAAATCCGAGAGCACTACTTGGGTCCATTTCAATTCTGTCCAAGTATGCTTTCCTAAGAGCGTTTTACATCTGATCTCAAATGATGTAACAAATGCATTAGGTTTTGGTTTTGATTTTTAAAGATTTTCATTTCATGTGCATGAGTGCTTGGGCTGTATGTACATATATGTACCACATGCATGCCTAGCACCTGCAGAAACCAGAATAGGCATAAGATCTCCTGACCAGAGTCACAGACAACTGGTTATGAGCTACCATGTGGGTATGGGAACCAAGCCTGGATCTTCTGCAAGAGCAGCATGCACTCCCAACCTCCAAAGCCCTACAGCCCCCCAGATACAAATTTTACTACATCAGAGTTTCTGAGCTCTCACCAAAGCTATACTGTTACTAGCTTATGTCTAGGAAACTCATTTCATAACCAACATAAAAATTTCAGTTTTGTAGGTATAGCCACTTACTCTGGTATTATAACTAAAATAAACTAAGAAGTCACCTGTGTGCTGGAACTACTAATAGATCTTAGCAAAACAACAACAACAAACCCAAATACACTGGGCCTGGACAGACAGCTCAGCAGTTAAGAGCACTGGCTGCTCTTCAAAGGATCTGAGTTCAATTCCTAGCACCCACATGGCATCTTATAACCCTCTGTAACTCCAGTCTCATAGGATCCAATGTCATATTCTTATCTCTGGGGTTATCAGGTACACACTTATTGCATAAACATATATGTAGACAAACACCACCTTAAAAAACCTTAAAAAACAAAAACAAAACAAAACTCTCAAAACTATTTAACATCTTTGTTTTGTATGTTTGTTTGTTTTTCGAGACAGGGTTTCTCTGTGTAGCCTTGGCTACCCTGGAACTCACTCTGTAGACCAGACTGGTCTTGAACCCACCAAAATCCGCCTGCCTCTGTCTCCCGAATGCTGGGATTAAAGGCATGTGCTACCATCACCTTCACCTGACAAAAAAATCATGTTTGTTGGAAGCCAGGCATAGTGGCACATGCCTTCAATTCAAGCAGAGGCAGGTGGATGTGAGTTCTAGACCAGCCAGGTCTACAGATTAAATTCTAGGACAGCCAGGGCTACACAGAGAAACCCTGTCTCAAAACAAAATAAGCAAACAAACAAAGAGGCAGATGGATAAAAACATGTTTGTTTAATCTATTTTAAGGTGGGGGTGGGGGGACACATGCCATGGAGCATGTGTGGAGGTTGGAGGATAATGTGCACTAGTCAATTTTCTCCTTTTACCATATGGATTCCGAGGATCTAACTCGGGTCATCAAAGCTTGCAAGCAAATACCTTTTCCCACTGAGCCATCTCAATGGCCCCTCAGAACTATAAAACTTACTAAATAAAACAGGTTTAGGTTGGATGTATGGCTTGGTCGTAGACTACCTGGTTAGCATATGGGAGGCCCTGGACTCAACCTCCAGTCCTGCAAAATTATTTGACCAATTAATTAAGACAGATTCTAGAACTAGGTCAGAGCAAGAGAACAAGAAAGAGAACAGGAAGGCTAGACATGCCCTAAACTCACAGTTTTGCAGGAGTTCTGTTCTGGGAGAGGACATACCTTATCCATATGGAAGATCAAATCCAATTCACATACATTTTCAAAACACTTATCCAGAGTCTCCACAAAAACCTAAGAAATAAGAAGAAACAGATGAAAAAAAGAGAACTACTACCACTGTCTTATAGATGTCATGTGAAATAAAAGGGGCAAACCTGGGATACACCTTAGTCCCACTGATGCAGAAGCTTAGGCAGGAAGATCACTTGAGACCAGAGTTTGAGAGCTGCCAGGGCTAGAGCTGAGTCCTCAAGGTCATTAAAAAGACTGAAACTCCCCCCAACAGGAACACACAGAATCAAACTCAGGTTACTTTGCTTTGGTAGCAAGTACCTTTATCTGCTGAACCTTCTTGATCGCCCTGTTCATAAGTTTTTGTTTTCTCTTTCAGAGAAGGACCTCATTTTAACCTTTATTATCAGCAATGGCATGGATATTCAATGCTGCATAAAAATGGGTCTCAGTCAGAACAGGCACATCAGGCATACCCTTGCACTGTGGCACAAGATGCTGGTGGCTGGGGGAGACTCACAATGAGCTGATTTCTCTGTCTCTTATGTTTGGATCTTAGTTAGGGTTTTTATGGCTATAATAAAACACCATGAACAAAAGCAAACTTGGGAAAGAAAGGGTCTATATCAGTTTGTACATCAAAGTCCACCACTAAGGAGAGTTAGTACAGAAACCCATGCTGCACAGGAACATGGAGACAGGAGCTGATGCAGAGGCCATCTACCAGTGCTGCTTATTGGTTTGCTCTCCATGGCTTGCTTGGCTCACTTTCATAAACCACCCATGGCAGTACTGGCCACAATGAGCTGGGCCCTCCCAGCTATCATCAATCAAGAAAATGCCCAACAGGCTTGTGTACAGGCCAGTTTAGTAGGGATATCTTCTCACTTGAGGCTCCCTCTTCCCAGATGATGCTAGCTTGTGTCAAACTGACATAAAATGAGCCAGTTGACCCCTTGCCAACCGGACACACAAACATATGACTGTTAAGCCATAACTGTCCAGCTGGGCAGTGCTGGTGCACACCTTTAATCCCAGAACTTGGGAGACAGAGGCAGGCAGATCTCTGTGAGTTCAAGGCCAGCCTGGTCTACAGAGTGAGTTCCAGAACAGGCTCCAAAGCTACAGAGAAACCCTGTCTTGAAAAGCAAAACAAAACAAAAAAGTCTCAACTGTTCCAATTATTCACTCACTCACTCACTCACTCACTCACTCACTCACTCACTCACTCACTCATTCATTTTGGTTTGTTTTTTTTTTTTTGAGACAGGATTTCTCTGTGTGACAGTCTTAGCTGTCCTAGAACTCACTCTGCAAACGAGGCTGGCCTAGAGCTCAGAAATCCACCTGCCTTGTCTTCTGAATTCTGAGATTAAAGGCGTGCACCACCACTGACCAGCTACTGTTCCTTTCTTATCTGTCCATTCCTAAAATCTCATACTATTGATAGCATAATATAAAATTTTCAAACTTTAAAAAAACATATTAATGTGTAGTGTGTGTGTGTGTCTGTTGTATATGTCTAAGGAGACCAGAAAGGTGTCAGCTCCCTGAAGCTGGAGATCAGGAAGTTGTGAGCTGATGTGGTTACTTAGATCCTCTGTAAAAACAACATGCATTCTTAACCACTGAGCCATTTCTCCAGTCCCCAAAGCCCTACAGTCTTAAAAATTCAACCACTTTAAAAGTTCAGTCTCTTTAAAAAAATGCAGTCTTCTTCAAAGTCCAAAACATTGGGTCTTCTAAAACATCCAAAACTTCTCTGAAATTTCAAAGTCTCTCTAAAAGTCCAGTCTCTTAACTGTGGACTACTATAAAAAAAAAAAAAAAAAGTAACATTCATGCCTTCAAAACCAGGACCATCTAGATGACTCTTAAGGCTCTTAGCATGAGATGCAGGCACAGCCCCCTCTGGATCACAGCTTCTGTATGCCAACCCAAAGGAACCACTTCTCAAAAGATTTCACCTCAACAATGTTGGTCTCTTCTAACTACCACTAATTTCCCAGCTCCAGATAAACATCAACAATTGTCCTAGCAAAGCAAAGGTTTCACTTCAATGGTGCTGGTCTCTTGTTAATAATGGCAATTCTTCATCCCCAGCTGACCAGAAACACAAATTGTTAATTCAAAACATCATATAAATGGCCTGATTGTCTTTACTTCCCTCAGAAACCTCACAAACCAGGTCTCTATCACTGCATTTCTCTCAGCATTCTTATCTTCTAAGCTCCCAGAGAACAAGCCACTGAATTATGAGCACTCGATGACTTTTCTAGTCCAAAGTTCAAATGCCAGCACAATCCTCCTCAAGACACATGATCAGGTCCATCACAGCAATACCCCACAAACAGTACCAACTTCTGCCTTAGTTAGCAAAGTGTTATTCCATCGAGAGCTCAACTTCTATTTTCCTTGATGATGTTGATAGCAAGATACAATAGGCAGAAGTGTTTGACATCCTGACCCAGGTCTGATAACTGGTACATGGTTTCTATTAGAAACCAAACACTGGAAAATAACTGGCCATTAAGTATTAATACTCTAAGACCTAGCAACTGTATTCCTCAGGTGTATATCTTACAGAATTGTAAGCACATGTAATTCCAAATCGAGACACAGTCATTTCACTGTTTATAAACTCTTTTTGCCTTAACAATATTTTAAGAACAGCAGTTACGGGCTGGGGAGATGGCTCAGTGGTTGTTCTTGCAGACATGGTACTTGTTGCTCTTGCAGAAAATCTGGGTTCAATTCCCAGCACCCACATGGTGGCTCCCAACCATCCATAACTACAAGTCCAGGGATCTAATGTACTCTTCTGACCTCAGGAGGCACCAGGCATGCACATGATACACAGAATACATGCAAGCAAAACACTGATATACATACAAATGAAATACATAAATCTAAAATAATTAAAAAGAAGAAGAATACTGTGATACAAAGAAAAGCATAGAACTAGCTAGCAAGATGGCTGGCTCACTGTAAAGGCGATGGCTGACAAGCCTGACAATTTGAGTTCACTCCTCACAGAGTAGAAGGAGAGAACTGATTCCCACAAGATAGCTGAGACCTTGTGCTAGCTAGTTTCATGTCAATAAGACACAAGCTAGGCACCACACCAGCCTATGGGTAAGCCTGTGGAGCGTTTTCTTTATGGAAGACCCCAGTTCACTCACTGTGGGTGGTACTACCCCTGGGGTATTGATCTTGGGTTATATAAAAAGGCAGACCAAGCAAGCCAATTAGCAGCAAGTACTCTTTGGTGGTCTCCACATCAACTCCTGACTCTAGGTTCCCTGCCCGGCTTCAGTCTCTGCCCTGACTTCCCTCAGTGATGGAGTGTGGTATGGAATTGTTAGCTTAATAAACCATTTCCTCATAAACTGCTTTTGGTCACAGTCTTTTATCACAGCCATAGAAACCCTAATAAGACAGACCTCTAAACCGGCACCATGGTACTCACATTCCCCTATACACCTCTCTCTCTCTCTCTCTCTCTCTCTCTCTCTCTCTCTCTCTCTTTCTCACACACACACACACACACACACACACACACACCCCTAATTAATTAAAATATACACATTTATAACACAATGGGTTTTTTAAAAAAAATAATTTGGTATTTTAAGCTGATGGAGAATTGAGCTATTGCTAGCTTTACTCACTTAGTGGCCAGTACTAAGTGTTGAAACATAACATGCTTAGTACTTTCTTTTCCTGAGTTTCCCTTTCCTAGCTCTTGAAGGCTTCCTGGTGGAACTGGACTTGCTTTCACATCTGGTCCAAATTTCACCTTTAAGACTGCCGTTGTCTTTACCTGACCTCTCAACAAGGGAAAGCTATATTTACTCCAAATATGACTTTATGTTTTTCTTTTATGATTTTGCAACTTTTATTTGTTTTTGTTGTTTCTTTAGACAGACTCTCACTAAGTAATGCTGACTAGCTGGAACGCACTATATAGACCAGGTGGGGCCCTGAACTTGGCAGTGATCCTCCTGCCTGTTTCCCAGAGTGCTGGGATGACAGGAATGCACTACCTCAGCTGGTCCAACTCTGTACTTTTATTGGAATCTGTATCAGGTACTCCATTAAGTTCATTTGCAAACATCAACCTTAATCACCACCTAATATTTCCTTTAACTATTCCAATTTTATCTGATTTTGCAGAAACAGGAAATTCAATGCTTTTCAACCTCAAACTTAGGAGTATGAATTTCATGTGGAGGCCAGAGGGCAACCTCCTCAAGTATTGGTCCTCAGTTTCCAACTTGTTTGAGCTGGGGTTTCTAGTTGTTTACCCTTTCTATGCCAGACTAGCCGGTGCATGATTTTCTTGTATCTTATCCACCTCCCACCCCCCAATCCTGGTAGAAGCTGAGATTTCCAGCAATATCAGTTCTATTGTTTTTTTTTCTATCAAATTCCAATAAAATTGTCCCATGTAGTTTCATTCTTAGTCTATTTTAAAACTCTTTCATCCTTAAGACTAAGAGTTCACAAAAGGCAGCCTGTAACATTTCTGTCTCAGCCTCTGGAGTAGCCGTGACTATAGTACCACCATGCTCAGCTTTCTACTTTTCTCATTTTGTTTTCTAAAAAATACTTTGTTTTCACATGTGCCTTTAGACATCTTCTTTAAGATAACACTGGCTCTTTGCAACTAAAACTGACTATGAAGGTAACTAGGGAGAGAAGACACTATGCCTGCACCATGTCTTCGCTCTAAGCTACTATTACAAGTAAAAATTAAAAGTATAGACACAGGATTGGGGAGATGATCCCCTCGTCCCCTCGGTAACTTCTTGCTGCACATACACAAGGACCTGAGTTGGGTCTCCCAGATCCCAAACAAAAAGCCCAGGGCAGCAAATCCTAGCATTTGGGAGGCAAAGATAAGATGGTGCCTAGGGCTTGCTAGCTGAATCTTTGGTGCACGCCTTTAATCCCAGCACTGTAGGGAGGCAGAGGCAGGAAGATCTCTGTGGGTTTGAGGCTAGCCTGGTCTACAGGACAATCTCCAAAACAATACTGAAGAACCCTGTCTCAAAAAACTAAATAAATAAATAAGCAAATAAGGTGGAAAACTACTGAGGAAGGCACCAGATGTCAACCTCTGGCCTCCATAAGCACCTTCACAAACACAAGTGCATGTGTCTTGTACCCAGAAAGTAGAAATATTTAAATGTAGTTTGCTTTCAGAGATGAGATGAAAGGTAATTCAAAATATTGAGAAATGGGGATGGGTGGGGGGTGGGGGGGTGGGGGGTGGTGGGGGGTAGTGCAAGGGCTGGGTAGAAACCACTGTCCACAGCTGACTCCTGGAGGGTTGATCAGGTGCTTTCCGAAAGCACCACCTGGTGGACATCTGGCAACCCTTACCAACGCCAATGAGGAGACTGAAAAAAGAATCCAAACCCAGGTTGGTTACTCAAAACCCTTGTGTGAACTCTAAAGTTGCTACCATTATTTGATGACTACACATACCTGGATGAGGTCCAAGATCCCAAGTTCACTCTCTGAGGAATCCACACAAAAGACAAAGTAGAGGGTGGCATAGTGCCGGTAAATCAGTTTGTAGTCAGCGCCTCCAATGAGACTGTGGAAGACAGTAGGGAACAGTTGAGAGCCAAATCTTCAGTAAACATCAGAGAACCGATGCACCAAAGAATGGAACTGGGTCTAGCAAAGAGGAAGACTGAGTTCTCAGAGCAGGCACTTCCCACATGAATGACAGCTAATTTTGGAAGAGGAACTTAAAGCCTCTTGACTTCACCCTTTACCTTTCTCTTTACCTATCCTGCCAGTGACCCAAACATCTGAGTAATGGCTTGGGGCTGGAACCATACCTCAGGGGTTAAGAGCACCGACTGCTATTTCTGAGTACCCAGGTTCAATCCCCAACACCCACATGGAAGCTGACAATGTCCATTACTCCTGTTCCAAAGGTTCTGACAACCACACATAGATGTACATAAAATAAAAATAAAAAGAAAGAAATTCAGAGTGATGGCTGAAGACCAGTAATGCAAGTGTTTCCCAAAAAGAACCAGAAGTCTCCCTGAGCAGCTCATGCTAAGAACAGGTAATATGGGTCTGGTGTAGTGGTGCACACCTTTAATCCCAGCTCTCGGGAGGTAGAAGTAGGCAGACCTCTGAGTTCAGGGCTATTTTGAACTATACTGAGAAACCCAATCTTAACAACCCACATCAGAGAAAATAGAACAGGGTATGCTGTCTCAGGTAGCCACTGACCCCTGAGTGTACCAGAAGAAACAAGAAGCAATAAAGGCCACCCAACATGAATCTGGGGACTTGGGATTGGCAACCTGAAGCTGATGGTTTACCTTCCACCTTCTAAGAAGTTACAGATGTTGTCATCTCGCTTCAGGACCAAATGGAAAGTCTCTCGAACAATCTGCTGTTGAATTTCTTCTGGCTATAGAAAAACAAAAAGTCAGATCAGGGGACAAGTGAGCAAAAGTGTGCCCATCAATGTGGACAATTATGTAAAGGAGGGTTCTGCCTAGCAACAATTGGAAAAGATCACATATAAGCACATGAAGAGCAGAGAAGGACTATGGGAAAGACAAGGCTATAGGGATTATGGGTATTTACCTAGGTATCTCAGCTGCAAGCCATTGCTATTTTACAGACAAGCTGCGATTCACACAAGGATTCAGAATCCATAAACTTAGTGAGATCCTCAAGTTCTGTTTTGTTTGCTTCATTTGTCTTTTGAAACAGGGTTTCTTTGTGAATCCTTGGCTGTCCTGCAACTTGCTCCATAGACCAGGCTGGCTTCAAACTCATAGTCACTGCCTCCCAAGTGATAGGATTAAAGGTGCATGCACATCACCACTGCCTAGCTTTTTTTTTTTTTTTTTTTAACTGAAAAAAAAAATCTATACTGGGTAATTAACAAATCTCAAAGTTCCAGCACCATGTGAAGGTCAAGATGTAATCATGTACATGTCTCAAAGATAAATTGACCATTTTTTAATTGTAATATCAGTACTATATATAAGATGTTTTGCTCATCAACAATTAGGAAAAATAGAAAATGCTGTATTTACAGATCAGAATCATGAGCAATTAAACAAAAGTACAAATAAGCTTTTTTCATTAATAGTCACTTGTAATCTTGGAAAACCTCAGCTATGATGTGAATGAAATCACTTGATAAACCACATTTGATTTCCACTTATGAATTTTATCATGCAATATTTTTTAAGAAGTCATGCAGGGCTGGGTGTTGGTGGCCCTGTCTCAAACAAACAAAATAAAACAAAACAAAAAAGTCAGCAGGACTATCACTGAATTGGAGGACAGCCTGTTTTTTTGTTTTTGTTTTTTTTTTTTTGTTTTGTTTTTTTGGTTTTTTTTTTTTTTTTTTTTTTTTTTTTTTTTGATTGTATGTTTGTTTTGAGATGGGGAGGGGAGAGGGGAGGTCCCTGTATTGTTGTTTGGAGCCTGTCCTGGAACTAGCTCTGTACACCAGCTGGCCTGGAACTCACAGACATCCACCTGCCTCTGCCTCCTGAGTGCTGGGACTAAAGGCGTGTGCCTCCAATGCCCAGCAACAGCCTGGTTTATATGAATTCCAGGCCAGCCTGAACTGTATTGTGACTCCCTATCTCAACAAAACAAAACAGAGGTAAGAGTGGGGAGAGGAGAAAGGAAGCCCATTGTGGTAGAGAATGTTTGTAATCCCAGCATTAAGTAGGCGAAGGCAGGAGGACATGAGACCCTGTATAAGGGGCAAGGGGAGTGGTAGTGCTTTAATATCAGCAAGAGGCAGGTGGATCTCTGTGAGTTCAAGGCCAGTCTGGCCTACAGAGTAAACTCCAGGTCATGAAGGGATACAGTGAGACCCTGTCTCAAAACAAACTAAAAGGATAACGGAGAAACCAGACAGAAACTAGGTAGTTAAGAACTCAGAAGAGGGACCAGCAGTGGTGGCGCACACCTTTAATCCCAGCACTGGGGAGGCAGAGGCAGGCAGATCTCTGTGCGTTCAATGCCAGCCTGGTCTACAGAGTTCCGGGTGTTTAAATGCAGGTTCTACTTTAATATGCCAGGGCTAGGGCCTGAGACTGTAGTTCTAACAAGCTCCCACAGGACACCAGTGCTTCAAGTCTTGGGGGACCACACTCTAGGTGGGGCACAACAGAAGTAAATGGTCAGTTTGACTCTTCCATAAGTCGGGAAAACACATTTTAAAAAATGAATCTCTTTCTTTCTACACCACTGCACTTAGCTTTAAGATGGCCATTATTTAAAAGCTATTAAGTATGGGGGGGGCGGGACAACACACACACACACAAAAAACGGGAACTAATCTCTGATGAAATGGCTTGTTCAGTGTGGGCTCTAAAGGCTCTCAGTACCTACTGAATGCATGGATGCAAACTTGATAATCACTGGCCCACAAATTGGAACGAATCAATCACTATCTTCCTGGTTTCCATGTGAACATAAGCAGCTCCCATTTGCCAGGATGCTGTCAAAGATTAACTCTGTGTGCTTAAACGCACAATGCACACTAAACATCAGCACTGTTTTAGAATAACAAAAACATCATTTCAACTGAAGTCCCTCATCCAACCATAGGTGGGAGTGGCAAAAATGGGGATGCGGTGGTGACATGAAACAATGAGGCCAACTATTCCTAGTTCAACAAAAAGACAAACTACACACTGCTTATGTGCCCCAGTTATTTCAGCAACCCTTCTTATCGTTTAGTACACTGCAATTTTCAAGGGACTTTCACTCAAGAGGTTCTGAAACAATTCTATGATCTTCAAAGATATACAAATAGCCAATAAGCATAAGAAAAGACAGGTGCTCAACATCCTTAGTCACTATGGCAACAGACATCAAAACCTTTTAAAAGGAGATTCATTTTCATCCACTAAAATGCCTTTAATTAAAGACAACATGGCTAGGATTATATAGCTCAGTGGTAGAAAATTGCCTAGAATGAGGGAGGCCCTGAATTCACTCCCTAGTTCAAAAAACAAAAACAAACAAGACACACAGACACTGGAGGAGATATGAAGAAGTTGGAATACTGATAAATTGTTGATAGTAGTGTGAAAGGGTACAACCACTTGGAAAACACTGGCAATTTCTTAAAATGTTTACCATTGGGGCTCAGCCTTTAACTGAGCAGGTGACTGCTCTTCTAGAGGGGCTAGGTTCTATTCCCAGCAACCATATGGCAGCTCACAACTGTGTAACTTCAATTTTACGGGACCCAACACCCTCAGAGACATACATGTAGGCAAAACACCAATGCACATAAAATAAAAATAAACTACTTAAAAATGCTTACCAGTTATCATATGACCTAATGATTCTGCCATTAAAGTGAAGAGAAATGAAGCTATAGCCACACTAAACTCAACACATGAATGGTCACAGTAGTATTATTCATAAAAGCCAGATATAACAAATAATGGAAAATAAAACTATGGGATGAAATAGCAGAGCATGAAGGTACGCCTGTAGCTTTGGGATGTGGAAGGCTGTGGTAAAGGATCTTTTCTTCTCTTTTGGTGACTGGTTGTTTGGATTTTGTTTTTGTTGCTTATAATGTCTTCACTATGTACCCAAGATTGGCCTTGAGCTCACAATCCTGCCTCGGTTTCCCTAGTACTATGATTATAGACCTGTGCCACCAAACCCAGCTGAACAGAGGGATCTCCAGTTCCAGGCCAACATGAGCTACATAATGAGATCCTGCTTCAAAATAAAGAACACATATATACACATGCTACAATACAGGTGAAACCTGAGGAAGTCTTTGTATGTAAAAGATTTAAAAAGAACCATACATTAACATTATTATGATTCCCTTTAGATTAAAAAAAAAAAAGTTCAAAACCTTAAAGACAAAGTAAGTGCTTGCTTAGGGCCAGGGAGTTGACTGCAAACAGGGAGGAGTTTAAGAGAGATAAAAATGTGATATAGTAAGTAATTGTATAGTCATTTATATCTTAGTAATTCAGAAAATAGGAGAAACAAATGCACACATAAGTCGAACTTACATTAAGTGCTCTTTTTTTTTTAAATGGAATTTGAAAATCTTATTTAAGAAAGCAAATTATTTTTTCATTTATGATGAAAAAAGGAATAAAAATCCGAGACATTTCTCAGTTTGCCAACCCACACAAAAGTGGGAAAAGTGGGGTGAAGCCTGAATGGTCTCTGATTCCATTCCCTTTCGGGTTTAACCATTCTCTCAGTTATGTATTTTGAAACCTAGCCACGAATGAAATGTTGGGGGGACATGAGGCAAATAACGAAGTTTGTGTTTTCAAAAATGAAATGTTTCTAGAAAATGAACATTGCTGAGCCATCCCGTGACAGCATTTGTTTAGTTATTGGTTTCTTGAGATATGGTTTGGTGTAGCTCAAGCTGGCTTTAAACTAGCTGTCTGCTCTTAGGATAACTTTGAGGTCCTCATCCTCACGCCTCCATCTCGAGTTCTGAGCTTATAGGTGTACACCACTACATCTGACAGCCTGTAATATATATACCTCATTAACCCCCAACTTTAAAAGAGACTTTCTGTAACCTTCAGGGTAAACGGGAGCTCAACCCTAATAAGTCTCAGCCAACGCTGAAGCAAATAATTCCAGGAAAGGACTTCTCCCCACCTTGAGAAAACAGAAACTTAAAAAAAAGCTTAAAGACAGTAGTTTTGTCGCCCAAGATCTCAATGAGCTACACTGTGTACCATGTCTGGCCTAAGACCCAAGGGAAAGTGTCACAAAGCACAGAAAAACCGGGATCCAGGGAGGGTAGAGAAGATCACAGGGATGGTGGGTCATGCACGGTGCCGGAGCCCGAGGTGTGGGCGAGCGCTGCTTCGAGCGGAGGGGAGGGGAATGGACGCGGGTGCGTGATGGGCCGGGCCGCACTCACAAAACGCTGGTAGAAGCGGACCAGCCGCGGCTTCCCATGGTTGTTGAAAACCAGAATCGCCTGAATCATCTTTGCTGGTCCCGCTTTTCTCGGCACCAGCAGCTAGAAGAAAGCTCCCACTTCCGCCACAACACGGGCACTTCCGGTTGGTACCCTGCTGAAAACTGTCCCCGGAAACTTAGCCGTGGTGCCCCGAGGTCCGAGCACCGAGGGTCCGGCCGCTCTGGCGCCCTGGAAAGGCTCGCCTGGGGAACACGGGTGTGGAAGCTGAAGAGCAAGGTCGCCTTGGCCAGCTTGATTATCAATCCGAACCTGGCTAGGACTGGGCCCCTCACTCTGGTTCCATAGCGGAGCCAACCGAGTCGGCAACGCGAATCCAGGGCGGCCAATTTTTCCAGCCGCTGCACCAGTTTGAGGGACCAGGAGGGAGCTTGTGTGGCTTCTTCTCCGTCCTAACCCTGGGCCAGCAAAAACTGGGCTTTTATTTTTCAGTATTATAATGCTGC